AGCAGGAATCTGGATAACACACCCTATTTGCCACTAATGACCTCTAGAAACCCCAAGAACATTCTTGTCGGTGTTGACAGTCCAACAGTTCAACAACATACTAAACCCACAAATATCACGGCTTTCATGAACGCTCTCCTTTAAGAGCTAAACTGGGACCGAGTGGGAATTTGGAAATTTGGCTACTCACAGTTTAAGTCTGGCTGCACAGGAGGAACCAGGAAGCTATCTTTCTCCACTGAAGTAAAAAGTTTGAGCAAGACTTCCGTTTCTTTTATTGTACTAAACAGTAAATAGGAGATGAAGTGTATAGGTGCATGTTTTAAGTTACAGCTCAAGTGGGCTGGCAGTTAACTGTTTCTCTCCAGCCACAAGGTGAATGAAGAACACTGGGAACGCTGTCATGTTTTGACAAATTAGAGAGAATTTGAAGATAAGCATGGCTGAACATCACAGAACTGTTCTGCAATGCAAGTTATGACATATGCAATCCCTTGGTACAACATAACAAAAAGCTCAACAACTTTTTATTCATCCACCTTCTTAAAGGATGGGTGAAACACCAGTTTGGTGTTTGGGTAAGGGTGAAATTAGGTTAGGTGGGCCAGTAAGGATTGCTGATAATTTGCAAAACTGATTTCAAGTACTTGACTTCAAAAGGTGCTCTGTACACATCAGAAACAAATCAGAGTACAGCAAACCCATATTGGAAAAATCATAGAATCATAGAATTGTTTAGGTTGGAAAAGACCTTTAAGATCATCCAGTCCAACCATTAACCTAACACTACCAAGTCCACCACTAAACCAATTAAGGGTAGACTAATAATTTCATGTTTCCTGGCTTGGTGGCTGGATTATTTGGTGACATGAAAAGATTCTGGACCACAAGAACACATTTGTGGAACTGTATAATTAATCAAAATTCACCTTACAGCATGGGCAAATCAATGCCACTAAATCTAATTTTGTGTTTGTTAAATTCAGTTTTGTTTGAATAATGCAGATTTGATACTTAGATTGTTTGTTAACGTACTTGTTTTCATGAAAATAAAGTTGCTAAACAGATACCTCACAGAACATGCTATTCCTTTATTTGTTCTGTTTTGCAAACTAGTGAAGTTGCTGGCTCCTTAGAAAAGATAATCACTTGATGCAGCTCTTGACCTCTTTTCTGTTCCACTGGTCTCTGTTCAGATACAGAACCAGCTACTCTGCTGCTTTATCCCACCTGATTTTACATCCATTCATTTAGATATTTAAAAGCCTCACCTTAAGGTGGTTTTATAAGAAGCTTTAATGGACTCATTTGCTACTGAACAGTTGTCTGGACACTTAGCAGAGAAGTATCTGTCAGAGAATCATGAAGAAGTTCAAACTTTGTACAAAGATATGTTAAACTTCTTCATTTTTTTCTTCATTACTGTACATTTCTGATCAATTTAATAGCAAAGCATAGCTATGGCGTTATTTTAAATCCATATGACATTTTCCTCTTTTCACTCTGAAGTCTGGCTCTATTTGTGTCAGTATTTACATCATACATATCTTGAATGATTTCCTGGCCGCAGTTATGCCACAGAAAGTTTGACACCAACTCCAGGAGGACCAGAAACTTAACCCTACATGCTCCTCTTCTTTCAGATTGCGCACACACAGATAATATTCAAACATTAATATTCATTTTTTTATTTTATCAAACCAAACCTTCTGTCTAAAAGGAATATGTACTAAAAAAATAAAACAGGTGCTGATAATGAAAGTCTCCCCGCAACCTTTACTAAATGTTTACAACCCCAAACATTGTAATACAATCTATTCTTTCCTCAAAAAAACCCAGCTATAAATCACTAAAGTTCACATCATTTGCTTTCTATAAAATCTTTTTTATTATCTTTAAGGTTATGGCTATGAGTCACAGTCATCAGTACATATTTTGATTATATTTGATTTACTCAGGTATAACTGCATTAGTTACAGTGGTTGCCAACATTTGTCTTCAAGTAATTCTTCTAGCAAGAAGAACGATGAGTTTAGTTCATGATTTCATCATTACAGTCTCAATTTTTAGGGCAAGTGAAGGAGTTTGGTTCCACTCAGCTGGCAATACAGATTATGTGCCTGTCATTTATGCAGCGTGATCAAAGAGTAGATGTATTTGTATACTTATCTTAAATAATTGTTTGAAGGAGAAATCACTCAGGTTAAAACCTATTTACAGATAATGATGTAAAAGTTCTGAAAAAAATTATGAAATATGTCCCATAACTAGAACTCAGCTATACCTAAAATCCAACTATATTATTTCAATACATGAAGACAAATTTCATTAAGGATGTAGTACCTTCTCTTCTGAAATGAAAAGAATTTGAGGAGAAAAGTAAACAACAGAAACCTTAATTTTTCAGCACCACAGAAATTCTCATGAAACTAACAATTTATATCCTTCCTTAGTTTCACTTCCTGCTACATATATTTTGTGAACCCTTAAATAAAGTAAATTGGCTATTTGAAAGATAAATATTAACAAGATGCTTTATAGGGCTAAGTTCTTAATTACAGGATTATCTTCTTTTTATTATTTAAGTAGGAAATATACTTTTGAATGACTTAATCAGTCTGCTCTTCTTTCGTATGCAAAGAACAGAGTTCAAGCATAGGTAACGCTAAAATAAACTGGTTAGTGTTACAGTTACTTAATTTTTGTTAAGAAGCATTACATCAGGTAACCTCTAATTCTATTCATTTTCCATAGTGTCCCAAATTGGTGATCTATGTAACAGAATTCAGAAGAAGAAATTGGAAAGAAACATAAATACCCAGTAAGAACATTTTTTTGCTTATCTGTTTCAAGTTCACATAAAGTACCACCACCAGAGGCATAAAGCTCTCTACACAGAAAACTGTTAATGGAAATACTAGGGTGCCTCTTCTAGAAAGGTGATCTCTCAGATATTGTTGGAATTAAAGAATCCTATGCAGTAGATCACAGTAACAAAGTTCTTAAAAGACTTTTTATAACTTTACCTCAAATATATCATGATGCACTCCTTCCCTCCAAATCTCATAGTGGGACATAATCCCACCTCCACCAAAACTTTCTAAAAATAAAAAGCCCCCAAATATAGTGTACTTCAGCTACTTCACTTTCATAGTTCAGCTAAGGTAGTCCCTTTTCAAAAAAACAAACTAATGACAAACTACCAGTAAGATTCACATGCTTTAGAATATTTCTTTAATCCACTGAAGGAAAAATTAATTATTGTGTAAGTGAAAGTAAGTCCATTAACCTATTAATTTTCAGTATATGCTGATTAAGAAAAAAGCAGAAACTGCAGCAGAAACAAGAACGTAGGCTCCAAAATATTCTGCTAGAAAAAATACTGAAATATGCTTGTACCTATCCTTATGAAAACAAAAATTTGTAGCATTTTTTGAGGCCACACAGTCCTACAGCATAAAGATTGTCTTAAATTTTAAAGGTAGCCTGAAAGGAAAAACAAACAAAAATACATGCATCTATGTTAACTAAGATCCTACCTTTTTGCTTACAGTTTTCTTCAGAAATGACTGGAGAAAATACTTTGGGTGGGGTTTGGCCCTTTTAATTATAGTGGTAAGAGAAAGTCTTGGCAGAAAATTTTACAAAGAAACCATTTCTAAGTTTTAAAAAAAAAAATCTTAATATTTTGACTTGAAGACTGCACAATCTTAGCTAGTTGCAGTGGAGAAGAAACAGTCTGCTAGAGCTCTCCACCAACCTTATCCGCCATTCTATTAAATCTTCAGTTATCTTAAAAATCTTGCATAGCTAACAAAATGTGGAATTTTAATACTTTTTTAATCTAAAAAAAAAAATACAGCAGTCATAACAAAAAGCTCTTTGTTGGTGCTATTTTATAATTACTGTACAGTAAAGAGAATATTGTCCCAGTACTAATAAGACTACAACTACCAAGCTTACTAGCCACGTAAGTGTTAAAAGGAACATCTGATGTTTGACCCATTTGGAAATAAAGAATAATATACTTTATTACCGTGAAAATCACAGTAAGATTTTAAATAAATAATTATGACAGGTAAATTTAAAGAAAATTGAATGTAACAAGAATCTTGTAGTATGCTTCCTAAGCCATATGAAACAGCACACGAGTGCTACGGAATGAAGACAATGGACTATTTCTCTCGTCTGCTGGTAACAGTAACCCAGTACACACTGTTTTCTCAGATAATAGCCTAGTCATTGTGCAGCAGAGGAATGATATGCACATATTTTAAATTTTGATTCAGAGTTGAGAGAGTCAAAGGGAAAAATATTAGTTAAGATTACATATACCCTGTACTTACAAGTGTCCTTCATGCATGTCATGGTTGAGGAACACAACTCAATGACGCAAACTGCTGGTTTTCCTAGATCCACTGGAGGCACTGTCAAAATGGAAACCTATCAAGCAGAAAGAAAAACTTACGTTAAAGCAGAGTAACATGAAGGATGAGGCAGCCAACACAATTCTGAGTAAAGGCGAAAAATAACTGCAGATGTTTATACAATTTTGCTTTCTGGTTTATTAGTAACAATCTGTGCAATCAATCCTGCAGAATTTGAGCATTCAAGAATTTCTACCAAAGTCAGTAAGGCCACCTTTGTTAGGAATGTCTGCAGCAGTGCAACAGAAAGAAAACCTGCTATCGCAGCCCCTTCCAAAAGGATGACAGTTTAGAAACTCTGTTGGCAAGAGACTGCAAAATGTTTTTGAACACTGGGCAGAGCACTGTTAGGTGAGAATGACTGGAGTACTTTCATGCAGGACTGCCAGTAGCAAGACTTTGGAAGAACAGATTTCTCTGTCATACATGTTCTTATTTTGTAGGTCCTATTTAACCTATTTACACAAAATGTACAGAAGAAACACTTAACACAGATTAATATCCTTTAAAATTAAGGTCTGCAAAGATGAACGAAGCAGAAACATTTAAAGGATCTGAAAGTGTACAATAAGAACTTTGAACAGTAAAAGTGAATGTTAAAAAACCCAAAAGAACTTTGTTCAAAGTTGAGACAAGATAAATAATTAACGCTTAACAGGATATTAAGGGTAAGAGTTTATTAAAAAGCAAGCAAAATGAACTACTTAAAGACAGCAGCTTAGAAACTCTGTTAATTAATACAGTGCCAACCAAACAGGGAAACCCAAGTCACTGGACTAAAATAAAATAATATTCCTAATAGTTTTATAGAGACTAATGAATTAAACAATTATCAGTAGAGAGACCTGACTAAAAAGCTGGATTCAAACAGAAGCAAAAGCATGAATTAATTCCTACCAACAACTAAATATTAATACATACAATTCATAAGGAGATAAGTGATACAAAATTGATATATACCTGCTGCTCTGAATCTGTGTTTAGCACAGACTGATCTGTAATGAGCACTGCTCTGGAGATCTGCCTACAATTAAATAAAACAATTACGGCATTTCACAAAAACGTACAACACAGCAAGTTGGATTCATAGTTCTGGCAGTACCAATCTAAACATAATACTGTGGGAAGGCAATTTAAACATACGATCTTTACTAATAGGATTGTTAGTGGGATATTTTGCCTGTTGCTGAAGGAGGACCACATCTGGAACATTAATGAAGTATTTTCAATGACCAAAACAGATGATGAATAAATGAGCCAGTGCCGCTACATAAAACAGCTTGAATATCCTACTGATTTCTAAAAAAATACTTTGTTTATTTAATCAAGATTAGTAGCAGCATGTTAGAGGACTTTCTATGTTCCAAAGAGCATAGGACACTTTGGATTAAGGGGAAATTCGCTCGAGTGGAGTTCATGAATTGAAGTTTCTAATCCTCCATTGCCTGTGATTATTTCTGTGCTGCACCTACTACTAGAGTTTGGCTAATATCTCATCTGCAATATTTTGAAGACAAAGGCAGTATATGTCCAATGCTTTTGGCAAGAACAACAACAATCAGAGAAGACAATGACTTTTAATACTTTTCTAAACCTGAACAAATTTAAAGCGAGAACAGCAATAGGCACCTCCACATTCCAAACACTTTTAAACAAATATGAAATCCCTAAGGCACTTAGAGCTAACGGATTTTTTTGTAAGGAAAAGAGGAATATGACTGAGAGAACAATTTAAGACAACCTAAACATAGAAAGTATACAATATACTCTCAAGTATATAGAAGAGGAGAAAAACTACGCACAGAATTAAGCCGTACTGCAAAGGTAATGCAGGAGACAATAATCTCTTAAATTTAACTTGCAGGGTACTTCATACACTATAATTTAAAGCCATTTACTATGGTTACTGTTCTACTACGTACCTGTAGCACACATTTGTACATATGCTCTCTGAAAGGTAACTGTCTTCCACAATAAAATAGTTAGCACTTATTCTTTGTCCAAAATGATCCACAATAGCTTTGCATCTGTTTAAAAAAAGATCAAACCAAAGTAAGAAATTCAGATACAAGGTAACAAAATCAGGTGTAAGTTTTTGAAATTCAGTTATATAGCACATAATTTATGTATTTCAAATAAGTTAGCTGCACATTTCTTCACCATGTGAAACCCTAAAACAACTCAACTGAAATTGAAAACGAACTCTTAAGAGTTATACATTCTACCTGGTACATTCAATTTTTTACATGCAATGCCATTTTAGATAATGATATCGGAACATCAATAAATTGGTCACTTTATAAGGAAAACTAATCATAAGCTAATAACGCTGGCATTTGATCGTACCTGAAAATGGCATACGTTTCCTACCTCATAATACATGTAAGAGTAATACTGTGAATTATTTTGTCAGCGTTACCCTATCGCAGTGTTATTTTTCTCCAGTCAGCAGACTTTACCAAAGACAAGTTTTTTCGACAATAATAGCTGACAAATTAAATGGCAAGTTAACTTAAGAGATGTAAGGAAAAATCCTTGAGAAATGTTTGCATCAGACTGTTCTGAGAGAACTTTTCCGAGCTTCTCTATTTGTGACTAAATATACCATTTATCTCTAAGTTACACACAAAAGGATTAACTAAGTCACATTGCTTTAAGAGCAACACAAACATTCTTAATAGGTACTGTTTGTCTTTAACTATATATAAATTCTAACACAAACATGTATTTGTCCGCCTCAGGCAACACTTGAAAAAATAAAATAAAATAAAAAAAACCCCAAACCCAAGACCACCACCACCCCCCCCCAATCTTTCTGAATGCAAGCAGGTCAAAACAAAATGAGAATAATTAAAAGCTGAGGCACTGCTACAAAAATTTTCAAGAGTCAAGTGTAACGCAACAGATTAACACTCTTATAAATGGGACAGAAATACAAACCACAGGAGAGAAGCAATTCAGAGAGCTTAAATGAGAACAGGATACAAATTTCAGATTTTAATGGGGAAAAATCTCTATGAGAGAACAAACTTCAGACTTATATACGTCATGTATGAAACCAAATCATATATATGAGACAAATAAAACAGAGGCTGCATACAGACACTGACACAACCTCTACTGCCGATTCCTATATGCCACGATCTGTGTTCTATTTAATTGGACATATTTTCCTCAAACTGAGACATTGCAAACATTTTTAGAAAACCCTGCAGGTTTAAATAGCACCTATCTTAATGAATGCTTTTCCTATCTAAAGTGCAAGCAAAATATGTGCACTACAATTTCTTTCCTTACAGCTTGTTTCCATATCCTAAGGATCTTTAAGACTCGATACTGGTTTCTAAAGCAAAATTTTAAGGTTTTCTACAGTATCAGAACATTTACTGCATAAATAAATAAAGCAAATTAGCTTTACTTAAGTTTTGCTTGGTGTATGAAAGTTACCGTATTTTTTTTAAATTAAATTCTTCTGAATCAGCGTCTTAATGTTTCAGTTGATTTAACATACAGGATTCAAACCAGTAAATTCTCTCACACACATGTAGGCGCGCACGTGCACGCACTTGAAAACATCAAAAGAAACAAAAGGTTGCTCAGACATCCCTTACAGATTTAAATGTGTTTTATCATAGCGCAACATTATCAGTAAGTATGTGATGTGCAAGTTATGCCTTCCGAATAAACAGCGTTTCTGTAACTTCAAGTTATTCATTAGCTTCTGTGATCAAAACGATCTGTAAAACTAGAGGAGATGAGAACCAAACCTAAATAAGTAATAGCAATCAGCTGCCGCTAGCTTTAGTACACCAGTCGCTTCTGTAGTCTGAAATGAGAACTGAAAAAGGGTGCACACAACGCTTATTTACAGATGTAAAAAGGTTAATGACAGTTAAGCGCGTTTTTATACCACTAACTTCTAATGCTGATTTCACAGGAGTCGGGATACTACATATAAACCTATTTCCAAATTCAACAGATAACCTGAAAACAGTAATTAAAAGAAAAGTCTAACGGTACGAGCATCGTTTAACTTTGAACGTGCAGTATTCTTCATACAGTTTCAATCACATTCTATTCAACATGTGTTTCACTTGCAACTTTAAGAAGTTTTTTGTTCGTGTTAACCTAACGGATTTAATTCTCAAGCACTCATTTGAATACTGCAAATAAGCAAGGACGTCGAGCTGCTACAGTTAATTTCTAATTATAACCTTACTTATTGTTTATGAAACAATTTCCCCTGCCACCCCCCTAAACATTATAGAAGGGGAAAGGTTGATTAAATGTCATGTTGCATCACTCAAAGCCAGCAAAAACAACTACACAGTTTTTATTTCCCTGCTGAGTGTTTTTTTCCTCTGCTTTGTTCAGGAATAGCTATCAGGTCATACGTTTGATAAGATTTTAAACAGAAAAAGAGATAGCGCTTTTAATTTCGGTCTCCACTTTACTTCAAAGGATGATGCTGAGAAAATTTCTTTCAAGTACTGCTTCCAAATATGGAAAACACTTATGCACTGACATTATCAGGTCTCTGTCATCTGATATGTGTTGGGACAATGAATCACACAGAACCCTCCATTGACCTTCTTTCAATGTGTCTAGATAAAAGGATGAAAATTAGAATCCATCTCCTTGCAGTGCCACGAGTTATAAATGTACTTTATAGGGCTCATTATCCAAACTAATGGACTAAGGGCGACATCCTTGAAATGGACTTACCAGCACTGACAAAGCCAGTATGCAATATTTCAAGAAAGATATGTAAATTACTATGTGTTTGCTATATCTTTTTATTACAGACATATAAATTTCCATTTATCACACCTTTTCCATTTTTGAGACAGAATTATGTAATTGGAAACATATGTAAAGTGTGATCAACATAAAATGCCTACCATTATTGTTAATGCAATCCATGTAATTTAAAGTACTTCGAATTTTATATATACCCAAAAAGTGACCTACAATAAACATGGAGAAAATAAACTAGAAAAAGAAAAATAATGATCACGCATACATTCAGTGTGCTTTTTCCTCAACCTGAGGACGACGATGTGGTTTTTATTTTCTAACAGAGCATCAGAGTTCTATCAAGAATGCAGGATGTTGTGCATACATATTAAAACAGCAGACCTAATCTGATACACATAAAAAATAGACATCTTCAAGTGGATTACCAAAACCTTAAAATAGGTATGTCTAAAAGTTTCTATACTTTCACACTGTCCTCCCTGAATCTCATTTTCATAAACTGTAAGAAGGGCTATAGTAACACGACAAAAATAATTATACAGTTGGGGATGAAATCTGCTGTTCTTTGTATATGCAGTTATGGGTAGTAAAAAAGTAAAAAGACAATTCAACTAGATATTGAATGGGTTCCTATTTTTCTTGTGCTGGAGAGAATGTTAGCCATGTCTAGAAAGGAGCTGGAATAAACTTTGGTGGTATTTAGGGACTTCAAATTAAAATCTAAACCATCAACAAAAAGTTTGAGAAGAAAATCAAGGCTGTTGCTATAAGCATAAATTTTCCTTACATGTACTAAAGCAAGAATATTAAAAACAGTGAACAAATAATGGCACTAAGATTTTGATGAAGTCTAGAAGCCTACGGGAGACGCTTACAAAATAGTAATGAATCCTGCACAATTTGATTAAATTTCTACTGTTGTGAGTTTAACCTATTTGTAACCAAGGTAAACTGCCTCTGAAACTACAGAGACAGCTGTAGTGACGACGAGATATGAGTTGTCTATAACCAATTACTATTAATGGCCTGTTGACTCAAAAGCTCAGTAACTCATAAATACCCTCATTAACAATTTGATAGCTGATTTTTATTAAGCAAAACACTGAAGCCCAAAGTCAAGAGGAAATTAGAGCTGGTGCAGGAAGGGAATACACAGGAAGGAAAGAGGTAACACGAAGAAATAAAAAGAAGGAAATAGTGATGATGTTAGCAACAGAGTAGCTTGCTAAGTAACACTCTAAGGAAAAGACTTAGCAAATAAAAGCAGTATTGCGTTCAGGAGAGAGAAAGGAAAATCAAGAGAAAATAATGTAACTGAATAAAAACACATACCTGGGTCAAAGAAAGTCACCTTTCTGAGTGACATTTTTGATGTGGCGAAGAGGATGTTTGAATCTTTTTCAAATTATTAGGGAAAAACCGGAACATTATATGCTCATTTTCATTGCTGAAAATACTTTTTGAAAATCATATTTTGACCTAGCCTGCGTTACTTTCACCATCTCAAAGCCTGACACCTCCCTTCTCTTCTATACATTTTTTTTGTTTGTTTACTTTTATTTTGAGGTAGAAATGCTGCTTGGTAAAATACCTGCTTTGAAACTATGGGAGACCTAAAAAGAGACAACAGAAGCAGACAGGCGGCTCCAAGGAAAAGGCAGGTGACTAGACTTTGGAAGCTGGATGTGTTGTGCTGCTTCACATTCAGCATCAGATAATGGCAGTATTAAAAGACCAATAGTTTTGGAATAATGAAAGTCTGGTAAAGTCTGGTAAAAAAATATTTCAGTAATTCTGCACCTCAAAAATCTGTCCTTCAGTTTTAAGTGAAAACGGCATAAGTGAACCACTAGAGCAGCCTAATAGACAACAAAAGACACTTGAAACCTATCTGGAGCCCTGAGAAACTTATTAGATCCAAAATGTAAAAGCAGGTTAAAAGAAAAGCAGCACTCCACCTTTTTTAGAATACATGTAACCTTAACAAAGAAAACATTCATTTCAAAGGCCTTCAGAATGGGCAAAAGAAGCTGGAAACTGGGACAACCAGCACTGCTGACCAGTTAAGATCTCCATAGAGCGGTGTTTGGAAGTTGCTAACAACTTTCTGTTTTGTCCCTCTGAAAGAGCAAGTTAACTATTTAAACGTTATTGGAAAATAAAGCTCCCTAGAGTAAAAGTTCAAATATTGCTGTTAATAAAAAAACTACAGAGTTTATGAAAGGGGCATAATTTCATTTGCATGTGAAACATGCACTTAAGACAACACCACATATGATGAAATACTGTCACATTTGCATCTCAGAGTCAAAACTATGCAATGAACTTCAGAACCTTCAGAACCGGCAGAAAGATAACATCTGTTGTTTATAGAATTTCAGGAAAAACAGATGCTACTTGACCATGTCATGACAAATCTAGCTACAAGTACGACACTCAGAGAATCAAATGTGCAGTGCAACTGGAAAGTAAACACATTACACTGATCATTGAACTACTAATTTTCCTAATGAAATGCTACTACATATTTTCTAGCTTATTTTTCAAAATTTTCTACAGAACATTTTGAACTTTTCAATGACAGAAACTACGCTGAAAACAGACTCTTAAGAGAGCCAAAGTCTGCAGTTAGACTAATAACTGATAGAATGTCTGTAACAGAAACCATGACAACTTACAGAGGCATGAAAATTGCCACTATGGAAAAAACTCTGGGTTGATTTTTCTTAGCTCAACTTTAAACTCGCCTACAGGCCTGATATTGTTGTAGAAGAATTTATCCTAGGATAAGAGGGCAGCATAGTTTATGACAACAATCTACCTAAAAACTCATTAAAGTCTTTTCTCTTAGAGTGACATGCATTATCAGCAAAGATTAATCTGATGAGTCTTTAGGTGAGCTCCATTTTTAAAAATGCAATAACAGAGGGCTTTGTTGTCATCTGATGAAAATCAATTAGAGTAGGTAAGGCCACAAGGAAAACTAACATCACTCATCACCAGCCCCCCGGCAGCTGAAATGATTTGTCTTCCAAGCTTGGGTGATCAGGAGCTGTAGTAATATCACAGGGAAATTAATTTAGTTTCTATATTCTAGACCCACTTTCCTTGTTCTGGAGGACCTATACACAAATTACTTTTAATCAAGGTTGATGTGTTATTAATACCAAGGAGGATCTTTGAAGAATCATTTTTTTTTAAATTGACTTAACACATTTTTCACCTGTATTTTGTATATAAACAGAAGGTTACTTATATTACCCTTACCGTCCAGATTCTTTGTCCACTACAAGGCACTGCACAGGATGGCGAAGACAATAGACACCACCAAATACAGCACACATCCTAGAAACATATCAGGAAAAAATAAAGGTTAGTCCTATCATGACTAATTGTAATCAATGCGAGTGTATGTCATAAGCCAGGCAAAGTACTGTGCATGCTGTAGTACATTTTTAATGACACATCTTAATCTCTGAATCAGACAATCAAAAAACAAGCAAAATAAAGCATGTCATATAGTTTTTGTAAGGGATACGTTGTTAACTCTTTTTTTGTATTAGCATTTATCTTAGTCCTCTGAATTGTTACATTAACTTGAGCACTCATTCTCTGTTACCATCTTCAGCCGTTCAGGATGGAAAAGCACCTATTTCCTGAAGATGCACAGAATATCTGCTGATATTCTGACCACGCTACATTGCATGTGGCGTAGAATAAAAACGTAAGAACACATGATAACCACACCAACCTCCTACTAGAATTCTAAGTGTGATTCAGAAGTTATTTCTCTACTCTTACAAAAAGTACCGTGGGAACCTCACTGACTACAGGCAGCTCAAAGTTTGAGGGCATTGAGAAGTGCCCCAAGAATGAAGACTTCCTACAATCTAAAGATGACCTCTTACAAATAGTGATTCCTCCAGGTTCTGCCTATGTTATGATATGGTCGCTTAAGATATTCTGTGCATGGACTGATGATAGAAAAGTTTCCTAAATGAAAAAAGGAACCGGCTTCAGAGGTCAGTGTTTCAAAAGCTAAAGTATACTAAGCTCTTTATCAGTCTCCTACTTACAAACAAAACCCAATACCTAAACCAAAATTGTGCTACCCAAACCACTAAGCCTGTATCACAACTCATCTGCTGTTAAACTCTAAGGGAACTCAGAATTTAAAGAAACTAGATTATGACATTTAAATACGAATGACTCCATGTAAGTCAGCCCACTGCAAAATTTCATCACTAGCCAGGCTGTTTTATCACCCCCTTGAAGGTCTCTCTGACTAAAACTCTTCACCAGATGAATCTGTCCTGTGCACAAAGTCTGAGACTGCTCTCCCGTGAAGCTTTGCGGTAAAAGTTCAGTTGCTCTGGTGATAAACATGGTCCTAGGTTAATCCCCACATCCTAACTTCCTGTATCTGCCAAAAGCCAGGCTTCATCTCTGGGGATTACTTTTCTGTTGATTTGATGAGACACAAGGTAAATTAATTCACAAAAAAGGAAAGTTTAGTTTTGTGCAGGTGATGACTCAAATTTTTACTGGACCCACATTAACATTGAAATGACCACGATATCACTAGTTTTAATTTTTTTTTTTTTTAAATTCTTGTTCCTGAAATATTTTAATATAAGCCCACATTCTTCAAAATGCTGTCAAGCAAGTATAAAGAACCAATAGTCTTTTTGCTATGTATTTAAAAAAAACCTCTTTAAACTTTCTGTGAAAGCACTATAATGCAGAGAAATTCATGATCTTACAGGAACAGGAGCTACTTTAGAGATTCTCAAGGACAAAGCTTCATGATTAACTGTGAATTAAGATAAACTTCAGTCAGTATTTTGTTTACAGTGCATTATTTCAGTGGCATTCTTACTATAATAATAAAAAATGCAGAAGTTTTCTAGAAACTGGTGTGACAAAAAGTAAACCAGTAAGAACATTTAAAAAATATTTTTCAAATTATGTTAAAAAAGAAATAATCTTTCTCTTCAAAATTTCCAGTCAACGTGGAAATGACTCAGTGGAAAAAGGTAAAGAAAAAGATGGGGGAGGTGTGTCTGATCCCTTACAAAATAATTTCAGGTTTGGACTGTTGCAATGTCTGATCTATACTAGGAATCTTTAATGAATATTTATTTATATATTTATTTACTTTTTTAAGAATATCCAATGGTTCATTCAGATCAATCAGCTATCACTGACCTCTTCTCATGTATGCTGAAAAGAAAGGACAAATAATTTGCATATTGACATTAACTGCATATCCTTCCCTCAGAGAACTGCTCTATCAGACAACTGTCAAATGCTATCAAGTGACATTTGACAATGTCCTACAAGTTAAAATACACCTGTGTTCTTCTTGTGATCCCTATTTTCCAAAAGTAAATAGCCTCTTAAATCATAAAACAGTCTGTAGCACATTCAATACAGTGACACACTGTATTCCATTTCACCACGCCAGAGAAGGATACTGTGAGTTTTCTGAGTTCCTGTTATCCAGCTGAGGTTTACCATCACCCAACCATTTGATGATCAGCTCACAGATGGAAGGACAGAGCTGAAACTGGAAGGGCATAAAAACTAGAAATTACACTTGCCATTTCATGAACAGACTCTGCCTAGGTATTGTATTTAAAGTAAGAATGTGTAATTCTGTCTTTTGGTAGAGTTTACACTGCAACTTAATAGATTAGTGTTTTCTAATTTCTAATTACTTGCCCAGCATGAGCTAGGCATCAGGCTAGCCAAAGCAAACAACCAGTATGAGAAGGGCAGACTGGTTTGGTGGAACATACTTCTTCCAGATTTCTGGGATGATATCAGGTTTTTCCTGGTTTACAAACAGTTTGGGTTTTTTTTTAAAGTTAAAGAGCTTTACATAGATGATGAACTTGAAAAGAAAACCTTCATTTTGGAAACCTGACTTCCTAAAATGGAATCCATATTGGCATTCAAAAGTCTAATATATTCATTAGTTCAAAGCCAGTACTGCAATACCTTTTAAACTGCATGAATGACACAGTGCGGCAACCAGCTGAAGTGTGTTACCAACTCGCATCTCTTCCGAGTTGTGCCCCAAAAAGCAGCAGTCTAAGGAAATGCCAGCAGTATCACTACTGCCTGACTCAGAAGATCCAGTTCCCTAGAAATACCTCTTCTACCCATGCAAAAGCAGGGAGAACATACGCCATGTTGAGTCCCAACCTTGGTTGTCTGGAGACTGTTGAAGATGACACAAAGGTTAAACATCCACTGAAGAATTATTACAGAGCCTTGAGCTACGGGCTTATTATCTCTAATGCTGCAATCAATGGCTTCTTGCCTGACAAAGCACGTATTAGGATCTTTCAAACCAACTCGGATGAATTTATTTCATATGTTGTATAAAAGAATAGCACTATTAACCTAACTAGAACTAAGATTCCTTTGTTAAAAACTATAAATTATATTTTTCCTTTGACTTCAACCACAGTCAAGGGCTTTTTGATATATGCACTTTATTTTTCTAGCGTGCTTTGAAAGAATTTTGCTGCTTGGCTGCGCAAAAATGTGAATTACTTATTTTCAAGAGTAGCCTGCTATCCAGTGGAGGAGGGCATGACCTGTTTTCATAGTAGGCCAGCAGAAAACTTCTCTTTTTAAATGAAAATGGAAAGGAATTTTGATTGTGTTGTGTTAAACAATTACAAAGAGCCAAAATACCTATTAAAACAGCCCGGCATGAAAAATGACACTATTAGGAAGAACTTGCCAAAATTATTTAAATGCAGAAATTGAAATATTAAACTAAATGGCATCCAAATAATTTATGACAAAGTAAAATCATTGCGCTAACATTACTTTCATACAATAGGCTATTCAAGATGATTTGACTGTACTTCAAGTACAAGGCAACTCTTTGATACCATTAACCCTAAATGACAGACATTTAAACCGATATTACTCTAATTAACTGGCGACTGCCTACACCAATAATTCAAGTTTTGCTGAAAGATAGCAACAACACTGTACTCAACTTCAACTTTGCCCTGGTGACATCAAACCATATTACAGCTAAATTAACAGTTGTGAAAATTTTTGGCCTGGTAGCCCTCCATCATACAGAGCCTTTAAATGCCATTTCAGTTCCCATCAAGGCAGGAATCAGCAGTTGTAATTTTTAATACAGCTACGAAACAATAGGACATATTAAAAGCTGAATTTTTGACAGCATATTCGCGATGATTTATGAGTTTGTATATAATTTGATTATTCTATTAATTTTACTGATTACTGATTCAGCTAATACAGTGAAGGTCACTTACAAAATAAATCTTCATTACATTTCACAGAAAGTAACTGCCTCCAACTAGTTGTTTTCTTTAATTAAACACTAATGTAACAAGAGAGAAAATAGGCTTCAGGGTTGCTGCATCTGTTGCTACAAGAGGAGTTTACTGCTTTGATGTAATGCTCTCCGATATTAATTGAACAAAAATAGAATGTCTCTCCATCTGACATCTTGATTTTCAACACAGAGAAACCATAAACACCCTTAAATTACAGACTTACCCATAATTCATGCTGAAACTACATAAAAGAATTGGAAAACCATATCACATAGTTTCACACCAGCTGCTATTTCCAGCATATAGTTTGTCTTCTACTTTCTAAAATGCATGGAGCGATTAATTAAAAAAATTGAATATTTTTCTCCCCAACTGTAGAGTCTTCTATAGCAAAAACTATTTGCTTCCCTCCTTAAAGATGAATACTGCATGTACAGCACAGCAAGCTTTGGAGAAAGATCAAAGAAAAACATGCCAAGTGCTGAATTAATGAATTGTCCTCTTTCAATTTATTTTTACACACAGAGCAAGCTGTGACCTGGTTCTTATGTTAAAATCTGTGTTTCCTGAAAGGTCCCTAGAATTTCAGCATTTCTACAATATTGTTTGATGTTCTAAAACCAAAAAAAGTAGAATGCAAACAAATCAAACCAATAAAATGGCTACAGTTAAAAAAACCAGTTAATTTTCCTAACATAGAGCTCCCATAAAAAACTCATATCTCAGTATGTGCACCCACCTGGATGAAGAAAAAAAAAAAAAACCCACAAACAAACCAGCACCAAAGAAATAGTGAAGATAATAATAATCAACGTCAAGCAGAACTGTCCTGGCATTTGGAGAGCTATTGGAAAGGATAATATGTGACAATAAACGCTTAAGGAAGTAAATGAAGAGTCAAATATTTTGATTTTTTCCTGGAGACTATGTTCAGCATTCCTGTAAAATTTAAAAAAGGTCCTGAAAGATTATAGGATCAGCCTAGTTTCTAAATCCAATTAGCAAAATGAC